AGGGCTGGGGCCCGCAGCAGGCTACCAGCCAGCCCCTGACTAGCTTGGGGCTTGGGGAACCTGCTCTGAGAGAGAAATTTATTAAGGAGAGTCACTCAGGGACTGTGTAAATAGACATAATATGTTTACAGAGGGAAAAAGGAAATCTGTGGTGGAAGTGGTTTAACTTTGAGGGGTTTTTTTGCGATAGTGATATAGTTGTTATGGCATATTTCATTAAAATCTATCACCATGGACCAGCAGGTGGTGTGGGGGTTATGGCACTGGATCCCACATGGCTGGGAGCATGGTTTGTGTCCTGTACCCTGCAGCTTGAAAAACACGCCAGGCGATGTGCACGTGAGCCCAGAGTCCTGAAAGGAGGTGGTGGCATGGTGTAGCCATCTCCTTGGGGTGACTTCTCACTTTCCCTCTCAGAATTCTATCTCTCTCTCGTGAGCGCACACTATAGCAAAAAACTAAAACAAAACAATCTATTAAGATATATACATGTATATACATACACACACTTATATACATATATGTGTGTGTGTGTGTGTGTGTATATTCAGATTTTACTAGAGGGCACATCTGCTTACTGGGGAGAGACGGGTGAGTGAGACAGTAAGAAAGCACCCTTGAGGGCATGGTCATGGCCAGTCTCATCTCCATTTGGGATTTTGGGATTGCATGTACAAGTGCTCAGTTTGTTTTTCAAACTGCTGGGTCCAGGACTGGAACTGTGCACCTGGCCATGCGGGCTCCAGCTGTCTTAACCAGCACACTACATGCTGGCCTGCTTATGTATATCTTTTAAGCCCAGAGTTTTCTTCCATCAGTGTTTACTGCCTAGTTTGAGTGTGACTATCAATGAGGAATAGTACTTAACATTCTTAGAAACCATTAGTGATACGTACTATACTGTTAATGCTTTTTTGGAGTAGGATGGGAAATCCGGGAAGTGCTGTCATTTTAAACTCAAACAGCTGGTATCCAGGCTGGTATTTGTAGCAGTTTATAGACAGAGCCATTGTGCACATGTAGATGAAGGTTCATGTATACCCCACAAAACTGAAAGCTGTTTGAGGAGGAGGTGAGGAATTGTCACATACCGGAGAGGTTTTCCTTTCTTTTCTGTAGAAGGTAGGGGATGAAACCGAGTAGCTGTAAAAGCCTTCCATTATGTCCTCAAACTTTGTGTCTTTTGGTTATAAGGAAGGACAAATAGGAACCAGAGTGCCCTGTTCAGAGGAATTGACTGTGGTCCTGTATGCTCGGTTAGACTTACTACAGCGTAAGCATGGGGGGAGGGGGGAGCGTTACAGTAACTAGAATAGAAATTCAGGTTAAATCGAGTGAGGTTAGCTGTCGTTATAATTGGACCTTTTGGGGAGAATTTAGGGGAAGTCTGAAGCTTGTGAAACTGAGGAAGTGCCCCAGACTTGGGGACCCACCTGCACCCCCCACTGGAACCCTCTGTTGATGAGCTGTATGCACTTACTGCGTTACAGTGATACAGAATATGGTACTTGGGGGAGAGTCGGTTTCCTGTGCTTGGCCAGAGTTTTTCTTGTTAGCTTTCTGCTCTAGGGTACTAGGATAAGGTGGTCCTGTGTGAAGCTGATTTCAGTGAGGATTATAACTTAGCCTAATTTGTAAGAGAGTAAGTAAAGAGTGTCCTTAGGGCGTAGGGAGTGGGAGAATGGTGTGTGAATGGTAGAATTTTAGGCAGTCTTTCAGGGAGAATGCAACTATGGGGTTGTTTGGAAAGTCATGATGCATTTTTTGCATAGAAAACCGATGACCTAATATTATGGGAGATTGCAGTCTTCATCTTACAGGCGAGTGAACTTAAACATAGAGCAGGTTGGGCGGCCAGTAGGTGGCATGGTGGTTAAGGGCGCTGGATTCCCACATGGCTGACTGTGGTTTGAGTCCTGGACCTGTCTGATAGTAAGCTACAGACCAGGACTGCCAGCCCAGAAGTGTGTCCCGGGAGTCCATGTGCTTGACCGTGACTACTCCGTGTACTGAGTACTTCTGCGAGCTCATAAACACACATGAAAACAGCAAGTATATGACTTTCAAGTCCATTTTTTTTTTTGCCATTTACCATTCTTTTTTTTTTTTTTAAAAAATTTTTTATTTAATTTTATTTATTCATTTCATTTATTTTAATTTGATCAAAGAGAAAGAGAGTGAGAAAAGCAAGCCACCAGGTCTGGGACTTGAACCATAGATGTGGGAGTGTCCAGCACCTTCACCACCACGCCACCTGCTGGCCTACCATTTACCATTCTGCTTTGGATCAGTATGGGTTTTTTTTTTCCGTTTTAGATTTTTGTCTTGGCCTGGGATATGCACAGGCATTCTTAGGAGCTATGGTCCCTTAATTTCAGAGAAAAAAGATTTTCCCTTTGATAATAAGAATACAGACTTCTGAACCTTTCTGATCTCAGTAACATCTTCTTACAGTTGATTAAGGAACTTGGCAGAAAGTACTTGATTTTAATTACAACAGGTTTTTAGGTTTTTTTGAGTTTTGCTATGGAATGCGTGTGCTCGCTAGAGAGCAACAGACAGAGAGAGCGAGCATCTTTTTGAGTTTTGCTATGGAATACGTGTGCTTGCTAGAGAGCAACAGACAGAGAGAGCGAGCAAGAGGGAAATGGAGAAATTGCCCCTTCTCTCCCATTCCCCTTGTGGACTTTGGCACACATGCATACATGCCCAGCCTGATTTTAAAGCCACTGGGTCTGGGCCTTGAACTGTGGTTGGCTACGTGAGAAACCAGCTCCTTAACCACCATGCCGGCTGCTGGCCCTGGATTGGAATTTCAAAAGTCATGTGTTGGCTTTTATTGCTGACCTTTTTTTAGATGAGTACGTTTGTCTTAAAAAGAAAGCTTGGGGAGTGAGGGAGAGCCTGCTGTTGGAGTCTGCTTGGGCCCATAAGCTATCACAGATTGGGTGGTTCAGCACTCAGCCTTTGTGAGGCGAGAAGTTCCACAGTCAGGTCGCAGAGTTCTGCTCCTGCCCAGGGCCTTTCTGCCTCGTAGGTGACCTCCTTCCTTCGTGCCGGGCGGGCATGCAGAGACCGCAGTGCCTGGCCCTGTGGACCTCGTTCCTGTACCCCGTCCTCACAGCACAGCCCTCTTGCCAAATACAGTCACATTAGGAGGTAGGGCCCCGCTGCAGAGGATGAGCAAGAGGCTGACCCAGTTCAGGCCGTAGCAGTATGTCCTTCTGCCACTTGGTGGCACTGCAGCACAACAAAAGCAGCTCTGTTTTCAAGCGAGAAGCTCCAGCTAAGTTGGAGGTGAACACCAAAATGTTGTTCTGTTCTTTCTGTTTGCTCCTACCTTGATTTCCTCTTAACCTCCTGCGGTAGCATACAGGGAGAGGTTTGCCTGCTGGCTAGGCGGTGTCTTCCGCACCTTCTTTTCAATTTTTTTTTTTTCAGAGGTTTTTGCTATAGGGCATGTGTACCCAAGGGGGATGGCCAAGCCACAATTCCTTCTCCATTCTCCTCTTGGGATCTTGGGCCTGGCGTGAGTTTAAGCCACTGGGTCCAGGACTTGCACCGTGGTCAGCTACATGGGA